ATAAGATAAGGGCTGAATTCCTTCTTCATAAGATGTGGGCTGAATTTGTTCTTCATAAGATGTGGGCTGAATTCGTTCCTCATAAGATGTGGGCTGTGACATTTTTGTCTCAATTTCCATGTTCACATAAATGATTGCATACACATTGGTTCCAATAACGTCTACAAACACTGAAATCAAGCTACTGCAAGATGAACACCCATGAAAGATGGTGAGAAAACACTTCCCAGCTTCACCGATATTAGACTCGAACACTAGACCATCTGTTGAGTGGTATTAATGTCTATACCAGGGTTCACACGGTCAAGTGTTTCATTCCAAACCATGTTGTTCAATCTATGAATGTGTTTCGAGACGCAAAAATTGGACTGATAGATCCCTACATGTAGGCAGCCCATCCAAAGTACATTTGAGCCAGATTAGCTTCAGATGTTGCTTCCTGTAGTAGGTAATGCACATGACCTTCAATAGAGAGAGGTAGACCTCTTGTCTTGTTCTTGTTCTTCAAGATTCCCTGTAAGCGTTGCTCGATGTCTTTGACATGAGTCAGGGCCTTAGGAGTAAAAAAAAAATTCAGGAATTAGGAATTATTAGTGAGAATTGATGCTTCTTCTAAAACGGGTCATGTGGGACAAAAGAGGCCAAACAGAAATTTCTCCTGGAAAATTGAACGAAACAACCACTCATTATCTGAGCTTCTAAAATTTGGGAAGACAATGACTTATCACACAACACAACTTGATGTGAACAAATCTATTGAAAAAAGCTGTTACAGGTTCTGCAATGTGTTGTGAAATTCTCCTACCTTTTCATTATTAATCTCTCCTGATTCGCTGAGATGTGACGTCCGTGTTCCCTTAGCTGGCTTGCTCCATTCTACCAATGGGTCGTAAATGAAGGTCTTCAAAACGCTGACAATTGAACAAATTATAATACAAATTTAACCTTGTCTATTGTTCTTCCCATTGAAAAATGGAAGGATCTTCACCCTTCTGCATCTATTAACTACAAATCATAGAAGTCCTAGATTTCAGCGGCAATGGAAAAATTATCTATTAAACTGGCGGCAATGTGATGACACTTCTTTTTGATTAGAATAACTTTTGCTGACACAGCACTTTCAGAGCAAAGCTGGTGACCACAAATGATCTTCTCAGACAACTAGGAATGTAGCTTGAAGTCTTGATTAGATTTCAAATCTTTTCTCACAAAAGTGGAAAACAGAGGAGCTTGAGAGGACATACCTCATGAGTGGTTCTCTCTGATCCCTCATGAGAGGACATACCTCATGAATGGTTCTCTCTAATCCCTCATGAGAGGACATACCTCATGAGTGGTTCTTTCTGATCCCTCATGAGAGGACATACCTCATGAGTGGTTCTCTCTGATCCCTCATGACCTTCATGGTGACCTCACAAGCTCGTCGGAAGATACCTTCCTTGCCCATTGGTCCCATAGCAGTCTCCATGTTGTGAGTTAAACGGAAAGGGACTCTCTCTGGGTACTCAAACGTCTCACCCTGAGTACAGGAACAATGGGTTAGCATGTACATCAGCATAAGATCAATTAAATTATTCCAAAGATCCTCTGAGCTTCTGCTTTTGCTATCTCCATCTCTTAGTTTACAAATGAACCAAACTCAACAACCAACTCCAAAATCACTCTAGAAGAAGTAATAATCACAGCTTGTCTTGTTTCCTGACTTCTGACTACAATACCCTTAGATTGGTTTGGAGAATAGTCTGATGGCAAATTAAACATTCTAGGACATTAGCTGGATACTTTGAGCCCCCGTTTGAAAGTCATCGTTTTATTAAACTGTTACTGACTGACACATGGTCCTACCTTGTTGAAGAGACAGTTAAAGTCCACATGCACACAGTCTCCCGTAGTGGAGTCATAAAGAATGTTCTCACCATGTCTGTCACCCAGACCCAGTATATAGCCAACCATAGACATAACAGCTGAGGTCCGAGCATATGCCAGTCTACTCAGGTACCTGAAAAATTCAAAGACATTGGTATAATTGCATTTCTGACATATTTGATTTTCCAGTAACTCCAAAGGATGTTAAGAATAATCCGTTCCAATGCATAAAACCTTTCAAGCTAGTCCTTTTATGAAAACATTCAACCTTCATAAATTTTATTATGCTTGTCTTACCTATATTCTACAAATCAAATTCTACCAAACTTATTCATAAAAGAACTAGTAAACTTCCCAGGAATCTAGTCAATCTACATTCAATTCACGAGAAAGAATTCCCCAAACAAGGTTTGTCTCAGACAAATGTACAAGCCCTTTCCAATTACCACATCTGAGCAATAAATACCAAGTCCGTCTAAATTCATGCTTCAAATTTTGACATGGAGCTTGACGTCTCCAGCTTATTAAAGTATGTCAAATGTGTCCTTAGGTTTGAGAACAGTTGTAGATCTTTCTGGACAAAATAAGGGCCCTAGCCCATGCACACGATGACAGTTGGAGGAATGAGACATTTCAGAGTATCTCACCATGAGGTAGGGTCAGGGAAAGTCTTGAGAAACCACTCCCCAAAGACTGGCGGAAACTTGGGCAGTAACTTGGTCCTGAAAATATCCAACACCTGCCTGTGAAGAAACGTCAAACCTGGCAATGATGATGTTAAGTACATACATCCTCCACTTCGGTGACAAAGTTACTCTTCCCTATTCTTTTGAGAGATTTCTTTTTATTCTACATTGTTTTTTCATAGTTTGTGTCTGACTTGGTGACTTATTTCTGGTATGATTCTGACAGGATTACTCCCCAATCTAACATTTTATCATCATTATCTTTCCACATATTTCTTTAGACTTACAATCAATACAAGCAAGTGCTATGAAGGAATGTGCGATTTACACTTTTCCACATTAAAATACAGTCACATCTTCAACAGATTTCTGCATTAAGAGTTCTTGTACTTATGACAAACTAAGTTTAAGAATAGTCATAATATACTGTTTGATGATCTTATTCTTGAAGGG